GTGTGAGTGTGTGAGTGAGTGTGAGTGTGAGTGTGAGTGTGAGTGTGAGTGTGTGTGTATACACTGGGGAGGGAATCAGGATTTGAAGCACAGGGGGCAGGAAAAGGGAACAGTATCCAGTGCACAGTGTGCGCTCACACCTCTCTGACCCTGGCTCATCTCCCTGCAGGTCCACCTCCGTTCGGCCAGGCGTCTCTGTGAGCTCTGCTGTGCCAACCGGGGCACCTTCATCAAGGTGGGCCAGCACCTGGGGGCCCTGGACTACCTGCTGCCCCAGGAGTACACCAGCACGCTGAAGGTGCTACACAGCCAGGCCCCACAGAGCAGCATGCAAGAGGTCCGCCAGGTCATCCGCGAGGACCTGGGCAAAGAGGTACCCACCTCTGCCGGGAGGGCTGGGCCTCGGGACGGCGTACTTCTCCAAAGGCCCTGGCAGAGTTCTCACTGCCAGGTGCTGGGCCCCTCACCCCCCGGCCCCCCACCCCTGGCGTTGAACCACACTTCACTGCAGCTTACAGTGCTGAAATCAAAGAGGTGGGCAGGAACCTCAGTGGTCCTCTGTAAAAGCTATTAATTGAACCATATGAAATAGTTGATAGTCTACTGTTTTTGACCTGCAAACTAAGATGATTCATATGGTTCAACCTAATACTATCTATGAATTATTGAGGGAGACACCGTGCGCCTACATCTGTGCTGTGTTCCGTCCATTATCTCACTTAATCCTCTTGCAAACATACGAGGTAGGCACTGTGATTAACCCCATTTTGCAGATGAGGGATGGAGGCTTCGGCCGGGAGCTAAAATGTCCAAGGGCACTTTAGTAAGTGTTTCCAGCGCCCTGCCCTGTAAGCTGTCCAGATCATCAGGGCATTGGCTTTTCTGGGATGTCTCTGGCAGGCAGCCATCCAACCTTTGCTTGGTTGCCTCCAGTGATGGGAAGCTTATCCTCTCCTCTGCTGCCCATGGTGGTCTCTTCTTTTATCTGTCGTCTCTAACTGTAAAAGTGCTTCCTCTTAAGTGCTAAAACCTGCCTCCTCTAGCCTCATTTTTCCAATTTTCATTTTGCCCCCTGGAGCAACAGAGTCAGGGGCAAAGGGCCCTTCTGTCCACAGCCTTGGCCACACTCCTTCAGACTCATGCTAGTGACCTGCAGGATGTGCGGAACCCACACTGGGCACAGTGACGGAGACCCTCGCCGACCTGTCCTGGCTGTGTTGCTTCTGGGAACAGGGAGGGTTTGAGCTGCCGTCTGTAGGTTGCTGAGCTGTGGGGCATGGCCAGCCCTACAAATTGTGTCCTGTAATTCGAGGGTACCTCAGAGATCTCTACTACAAAAACTTTCTCTCCCCACTCACCTGTTACTGTATTTGAAATTCTCCTTTCTGAGAGAGAATCCTTTGGGTCTTCAGCTGATGCCTTTCCTGAGATTATGTTTACAACCTTTGATGCCTCCCATTTGCCCTAAAATAAAATCCTTAGCTGGGCTTTCACGGATCCCGTCCACTTTCAGCCTGCCTATCTGTTTCATGACTGAGTGAGCAAGACAGAGTGGCTTTAGAGTTTGGGCTTTGGATCCAGGGGCTTGGACCACACACAGATTACTTATCTGGCTCCTCACTTTCCTTATCTGTAAAATGGGGCATAGTGTCCACTTCATAGAGTTGTTGTGAGGATTAGAAGAGATAATGAATAGAAAGTGCTTAGTGCAGTCCCTAACCTGGAGTAAATGCTCAACAAATAGTAGCTACTACTGTTATTGTTCGTTTTCCTGTGCTCTGGTCATGCTGTGCTCCTTGTCTCAGGCTCCCCGTGGACCGTCAGCCCTTAGTGCCTGTGCTTTCTGTCTGCCTGGGATACCTTTACTCCATTCTCTCCCTGTCAAGGGCTTCCTCGTGTCTGTAGGTCATTTGCCCATCTGTCCGTTCATCTACCAAATGCCAGGCACTGTGCCGGGTGTCCTGGCCAAACCCCGGCTCTCCTGTGAAATCTTCTCTGGCTCTCTGCACAACTTTGTTCCCTCCCCTTGTGCATCTTGTGGCTTGGTTAGTTGCCTCTAGATGGTTTCACTGTAAGTACTAAAGTCTTTGGGGATGAAGACCATAGTGGTCCTGTTACCCTGCTATATGGTAAGAGCCAGTGTTTGTTTAATGAAACAGTGGGTGAATGAGTGACAGCTTCCTTAGGCCACTCAGGGCAAGGTGGAGAGTATGGGCAGAGGTTTCATAAAGACCAGTTGTTCCATTTTCTCTGGTCTGCACGGAGCTGGCCCGGGCTCTGCACCCCTTAATGTAGAACTGTTATCAGGTGCCCAGCATCCAGCCAAAGATGTCCCTGGCCTGGATGGGGCCTCACTAGCTGACTCCCTGGGAGGGCTGACCACACAGAAGGGGAGCATAGACACCTCTGTGGACTCCCTTTCCATTGAGGAACATTTCCTCCATAATGGGGGAGCTTCAGCAGAGGGGAAACCAAACTTAGGGCTGGAGTCAGGAGCAGGCTGCAGGCTGGGAGACGCAGGGACCCCAGGCAGAGGGGAGGCGTTGGCACAGTGCAGGCCCGCGTGTGGCTTTGCTTCTTGCCAAGACTGTTGGCCTCCTGCTTCCTACAGCATGAGATTCACCCCCAAATTAAAACTAAATAAATCACTGTAATAACAGTGTGAAGTGCCTCATTGCTGGTGTGTGGCAGCTCATTGGGGGTGGCTGCAAGGGAGGGGAGCCAGCAGATTAACCCTTGGAGGCCGACTTGGCTGTGGAGAGCTGGAGGAGGGAGGCAAGACCAGGTCAGTGGCTCCCTCTACGCCAGGGTGGAGCGAGATGAGAAGGTTGCGGGGTCAGCAGTCATGGTGGGCCCACCCAGCTGGCCAAAGGCTGTTTGGGGTTGGAAGATTTTGCCTGCATCTTTAGGGCCTCTTATACAGGCCCCCCTGGCCAAGTCGTTCTGAGCGTGGCCTGTGGCTCCTGCCCCACAGGTTGTTGTCTTGAGCCCTCTGAGAAAGGGAGGCTAATGTCAAGGTCATGGTTCTCTGTGGGGGTGTCCCTCACAGCTGGGAAGCTCAGCAACCTCTGGTTTCTTACCCCCCCGCCCCCACAGGCACACAATCAGTTTTCCCTCCCTGTTCCTCCTCCTCCTCCCTCCCGGGAAGATGGCATTTGTTCCCTGGTGACACACTTTCTCAGTCTGTGGGTGGAGGGAGGGGAAAGGGGCTGTGTGGGGA